CAGACCTGTCGTGAAGAACTAGAGATGGGCCGAGGCTTACCTGGCGACTCCATGAGGGACCCACGTGGCGAAGTGTGGATGTGGCTATGCGCCCCCGTCGGTGTTTTCCCCTATGATGATAATGATACATATATCTATATATATACACACACACACACACACACACACACACACACCACATATATAATATATAATAATATATATATACTATATATATTATATATTTAAGTATATATTTGAGAGAGATAGTCACATCAAAATCAATAACCTCCCCCACTATAATATAATGGACAAACCAACCATATATAAGATGGTACAAATGATACTAAAGAATATACAAAAATATCACAAGCACATATTTCTAATCTCCGTAATAAATATTCGCCTAATAATTATATTGAGAACTAAAGCATGCATGTAGACACCTGTGATATATATATACAAAATGTTTATGTAATTAATACAAATATATCAAAGTAGTGTACCTGTAAAGGATGTAGGTATCTGCTTTCGATACACCATCATAGACTGAATATTAGCTATAAGCATACAATAAGTATTAATGTCTAGAATACTAGCCACACAGATAAATCACTCTAGAATCTATGTATTACATGACCTATACAAACAAATGAAGCCTCCATAATCCATATTCATAACCATGATTTGTTCACACATCTATCTTGGTCATGAAAAACACCCTGGAGAAGATATAAATTAATGCGGCAGCTTAATGTTAATTCAAATTATTATATTTTATACACGTGTTATGTCGTTGTAATATCAGTGAGAGTGAGCAAACAAGTATATACCCAAGTGATAAAGGGTAACAAATCATAAAACCTTTTGGAAGATGTCAGAAACAAACCTCAAAGAACTTGTTAAATAGATGAACTAGAGAGCTGAAGATAGCGATGTGAGTTATATAATATAAATGGTTTTGAGTAAAGCATGTGATATGTGTGCCTATTTGTCCCATTTATAAGTTAAGTGTTTGAGATGTGACAGATTTTTCCTCCTTAGGAGTCCTATATACAACCATCTTAAGCAGGTTCATTCTGAAGTTAACCCACACATCACAACTTCATGATTATGTATTCAATGATTTGTAAAGTGTGAGAGCGAGATGGGACGAGATGTGCGCGTGCGAGAAGTTAGTCGTGAGCAGTGCGAGATGTAGTAAGAATGAGATATGCCTTATCACGCATTTTGACTTAGTACAACTCACAATAGGTATATGTCTAGTGAGCCACCAACTATCAATGATATATAGGTACGTGAATGGACCCTATGATACTCAATGATACAGCAGAGATAGTAATGACGGCGTTTATTTAACCCTAGTACACTTATAAGCTATCCATGGCTCCGTCGCCTCCCTTGGACCTGCCATATCGGCAAGGTTCGGAACTGTGGTAGAAATGTCAATTAATAATTCAAGGATTGTTACTTATTGGCCTAACATTATCTTCAAAGTAATTACAACTCAAATTATCTACTCAACTGTCTTATAACTCAAACACTACATATATGTTAACATACATATATTGCAAAATTGAATTATAATTTAAACCAAATATTTGATAAAACAAGCTATATATATATAAAATTAAAACATTTAAATATTAAAAATTTTGTTACTCACCATTTAAAAAATTACTAGGTCATTGAAGCTTACTGTATACTATAGACAATAGTTAGAGTATCAAGTATGATTCATCATTATATCCAGCCAGTGACAGGTAGACGATGTTATTATTATCCTTGGGAATGATTAATATATAAAAAATAATGTATAATTTATTTTCTTTATCACAATGTTAAAAAGTGAATTCATAGTACTTACACTAATAATAATATAGTAAAATACAGTGACCTTATATAGAGAATGAAAAAAATCAAGTTTATATCATATAACTTATATACCCAACATATATACATATTGACGAAAAAGCCAAGAAGTCAAAATCTTTTATAATGTATTTTATAATGTTATATATATAATAACTAGATATAATATATAAATATATATAAATATATATATTTATTGGCTATTAATAAACATAGTATGAGTGTGGTCACAGAATCAAGTAAAGATTCTCAAGTACAAGCCAGGCACCATTGCTGAGCTGCCTAGCCTCACTATGCTATAGTACATATCAGGTAGAAAACCTTTATATATATATACCTAGTACATAGACGATTTATACATCACATACGATACCATAATTATAACTCAACTAGAGTTAAATCTAGCAATATGTATTGGTGAGTGTTGTTTACATTGTTATGTCTATTGTACGAGTTATAATGGGCTACTAGGTGTGAGTAGATTGTGATAATACCAGTTTAATATAATATGAGGAAGTGTGAAGGTTAACATCAATATTATATATATAATTATATTTATAATATATATAACACACATACTAATACATAGAAACACATACATAGAAACATTGTATATAGGTATTAACAGAATATAATAACAGATACTCAAATATATAGATAGAATTGTAGATAAACAGACTGTCTTACATTAATAAACTATAAATTGCATAGATTAATGAAAGTCCAACATTTAGTCATAATTGGATTACATTTTTGTATCCTCTCGTAACAGTTAATTTTACATCGGATTTCTTTTGAAAAAATATATATATATTCCAAAAGATAACAATCACTACAATTTTGATTTTATGACTTTTTTCCAAAAGGTAACAATTATTATAATCTAATTCAAATTTGTTGGATTATGCACAAAGCTATTGCCTACATCATTTACATAAATAAATTCCAAGTATTTACCACTGCCTTCAGAATGAAAAAAATACTGATGTTAAAATTCTCTTTTTTACACATTTGAATTACATTCTCATACATTTCCCCTCTTACATTACCACACAACTGCTCCTTTTACTTCTATTTTCAAGGTACATCTTTGCCCTGGTACAAGCTACTTACAATCACCCTAGCATAAATACATTCTATTACAATATAAAAAGTGAATTGCAGGTCAAGCTAGTAAGCAACTGACCACAGACTCAACACAATTTTAAAACCTTTAACCTTGTATACAAAACATGATTTATTTACTGTATGCTAAAATCACTATTTCCATGCCATAATATAATAAGAGTAATATTGCATAAAATAACTTAGGGGAACTTTCTTTCATCAGGCCAGCAAAGGAGAGAGCCTTGCAATGTTCAACGGTATTTTTGGGTCATGTAATATCATTTTTTAAATGCACTTCTTTTGATAATTAATGTTTTATTTTCAGTAAACCTTTCAACTGAAGTATTAAAAATTGGCTAGTGGCCAGTAATGTGGGTTTATTGACATGCATTGGCAATTTCCCCAGTTTGTGCCCAGCTTGTTCAGTGCTTCAAGTACAACATCAGGCACCTAACAGCTTCTGGCTGTATTTTATACACAGGTTTCCCTTAACTTTCAGTGCCTATATCTATAAGTGACACTAAACAAATGATGATGCTACTATCAGAGAGATAGGCTCCCTCCAATAAGCTGAGGAGCCATCTACGAATCAGTCCACCACAGCCTTTCACGAACAAAGGGTTAAGAATGACATATCCAAGTATCTTCATAAAAAAGATCTATCTATAGCTAAGACATCCTTAAAAATGCAAGCAACAAATTTTCATACAAGTTGTGCTTGTAGTAGGTGTTCCTTAAATCCAATTTGCATCTGCAACAAAGTATCTTCTCATTTTCAAAGCTAACCTAAAGGACCAATCTGTACCAGCAGCCTTAAAATATTCCTTGCACAATTCACAAAATGAAGAAGGAATCTGTGCTCACAAAAGCATCATAACCCATTGCCATCAGGAACATGAAATAACCACTATAGTTTGGTTTTGTGAATTGTCTGTTTATACAGATGTCTTTATAAATGTCCCACAAACATGGAGTCAATTTGTAGGCTTATGTGACCCCATCTGATTTCCCCTTCCTTGAGTTTATGGAATAAACATTCTAGTGCTATTAATATTAGTATTGTTATTATTATTACTGACATTATGATTAGCATAATGTCAACAATACCAATACCAACAAAAATACAAAAAATTATATTTCCAAAAACAAGACAATGGTGAGATACGTAAGACTAAGAATTGACTCTTGGAAGACTATCCATTTGAGGAACCATAAATGTGTAAAACAATTAATGAATTAAGCTCACAATGACATGGCATGTACTTACATGCCATCCCTGTCAACAATGGGTTAAAAGTTTAATGTTATTCAGTTAACCCTTAAAAGATGGGTATGGCAATGCCATCATCATGTAATGGACTATGACGTATATACACGTGGGCCAGCTGCATACACCTTAGTCTTACCCACAAAGTCTAGACTGTTGTGTAATATTACATTGTAAAAATTCAGGCCCTGTCATCATAGGGTTATAAAGGCTATTTTTCATCAGATAAAAAAATATATATATATAAAAGAAAGGAAATTAATGGTCCTACATATTTCCATCTTTATAAAATTAATAATCCAATTGTACAACCACATTTACATCTGACTGATTTCACCCTAGGAACTACTGTAATGACATACAGTATCTATCATATCAAGAGGGATTAGATGCTAAGGACGTCAGTCCGCACACATGATTCATATCCGAAAATGGTAAGAAAATTAATACACTTTAACAAATCTTCAAATCTGCAAATATCTCAAAATGTTTTGTTAATCATAAACAAGAACAGCTGGAAGTACAACTACCAAAATAGCTTCAAATGCATTACAAAACAATCATGTAAGTAATATTAGAAAGCAAAGTTATTTTGCTGTTGTGTTCTACTCTTGTATGTATGGTTACTACAGTGCTTAGGGAATGCATAATCAATACATTTCTGTTAGAATTCAACACAATACAATACAAGGTATCAATTAATAATTACTTCAACAGAAAACCACTGCATACAAGAAAAACTGATCAGAAATGTATGATTCATGCAAAACATTTACACACAGCTAAGATGTTACCTGATGTTCTTCACACTGCAGTCCCGGCAACTGTGCATAAAATCATCAGAGTATTATGTGTGAGCCTCACTACACAAGCTTTGCATGTGTTACTACACTGTAATCTGAGAAAAGCCTAAACATTTTATCTCAAATGTCTCATTTTGATTATTTAACCACAATAAAAAGCTATTCTTTTTCCTATTATCTTATCTTTCATTTCTCTTTTACTTTTTTCCAAGTTCTTTTTCAGAGTGGTTTATATGCAAGCTCCTCTGTATGTCTTATAAAATATGCCCTGAAGAAGCACTATTGCAAAATTACTTTGGTGTAATTGTTCCCTGTTCTTTTCTTCATTGTTTTGTTTTCCATGGTGTAGCAGTCATTATAGGAATCTCAAAGCAACAAATTCTTTCCAATCATTTCCTTGTTCAACCCTTTTAGGTTTTGGCCACTTGGCTATTTTGTCTGTGCTGTGTGCATCTCACATTTACCACTCACTTTACAATTATTCAGTTTGAGTAGGCATTATATAACGTTTAAGATTTCAGCATGGTGTGTTTAATAATGGTATAAAATATTTTCCTTTTATGCTGTCAGCATCTAATAAACTGAGTACTAAATGACATCACACTTCATAATTGGTATCTGTGCTGATGAGAACTGGATAGGTCATTTTACATTACTGGAATCTAAAAAGGTTAATAGTAGAGTAGAATATCAAAATATCAAAACATTTCACAACCAGAGCATTCGACAAAGAAGGATCAAAGCTCTTAACCCACTAGTGCCGGTATATTTTGAAGCGGAAAATAATAGTTTCCAGGCAGCTTCAAAGTCGGTGAGCGGGGCTGGCCCGGAATCTGCCCATGATGGAATTGGAGCGCAAGCTCCAACTTCACACTGGCAGGACGCCCCCCAATGTTTATTTTTCCAGGTGCATCATATGTGGGACACCCGTTGTAAATGGGTTAAATGATACGTGTGTGATATATTCCCATGATTCAGTTGACATTTTGAACATTATTGTAAAATATATAGAAATAATTTTAAAGTGAAAATAATCAAGTTGTTTACACTACTCTTAAAATTCATAATCAAAAATATTTGAGAAAAAAGTTACCTAAACAGACAACAAACAGTGGCCTTCCTGTCAGATACTTTACTAATTATTCTAAATTTAATTCTAAGAACTAAGATATTTATTTTGTATGACAAACATTTTAGATATGTAAATATAAATTTTAAAAATATACCCAAAAATTATTAGGGAAAATCTTTGTCACAGGTTTTCTTGAACTTGAGCATTCCTATACTGGTACTTTTATACTCTCAAGGTAACATTGCTCTATTGAAAAAAGTATAAATGAGAATGAATATCTTCAACAGTGCAAGAAGTGTATATAATGCATTACATCTTCATCAGAAATACATGTATTTTTGATGAAGATATAATCAAAATGCATCAAATACCTTCCTTGCCTTGTGGATATATTCATTCTCATTTACACCGTTTTCTAAATTTGTTGCAAAGAACACTGCTGATTACTGCCCTCATAAAATAAAAACAAATACAATGATTTTTACATTAACAGTAAACAACAGAAGCTAGCAAAAGAAATGTAAGGCATAATGTTAACACCAACAATATCTACAAGAGCAATAATCTCTTTAAAAACAAACAAAAATCAAAATAATGCATGTTTTGAAAGTTTAAGAAATCAATTGGAACAATAACTCATCTCTAAATGAACTGCATATATACAAACATAATAGAACTAAAAGAATATGAAACAATGGACATCCTAACTTGTCTAAAAAAGTAAATAAAAAAAATAAACAATAGCAATATAATAACAGAAAGCAGCACAAAAAACACCATAAGTACAAGAATCAAGGAAAATTATATATATACATAAAACTAATCTCTTACACCTGACACTCACCTCTCCTGAAGGCCAAGACAGAGACCAGCCACTAAGATGTAAGTTACAACAGCCATTAAAGGAATATACAAGTCTGGAGCATTGATCTCATAGCGGGGTTGCACTGGCTCCTCTTGGTTGTAGCGTACACTCCAGTCCTGCATTTATATGTGGAAAAGCACAACAGACTAAAACATAAAAATCAAAAGCAGAACAGAAATTGGAAATATATTATTACATTTTCCATGCCAAGGACGTCTGAAAGCAGTGTCACAAAATAAGAACTTACCGAGTGTGTGAAGGGGAAAAACAGTAGTTGTAGCTTCTTCATGACGTAGCGTGTGTCGACAGCGAAATAATACTTTAATTGGGTCATAGAGACATATTTCTCCAACTTCTGTGTCCACATACTCTCGCCCTTGACCCACCAAACTCTGGCCATACTGCATGGCCATATTTAGCGACCATTGGGTCCTAAACAAACATTATCATCAGCCATCTGTCTACAGCACTGAATCCATATCCAAACATATATTTTTTTTTAATGTATCACATTAATATTGCAAGTTGATGTTGGTAATCAAAATTCAATGATGATCATGACTGATCATGATGATGATAATGATTACTGATGATGATAATGATTAATGATGATGATGATTAATGATGATGATGCTTAATGATGATGAATTGATTATAATGATGATGATAATGATTACTGATACAATAAGTAAATGAAAATTGCCACTTCAATCTTACCTGGAAAATCTGAGGTCCTGGCATACCTGGGTACTGAGGGTATCCCGCCCCCCCTTGAGCATTACCACCTTGACCTCCTGAAGGTGGTGGTCCACCCCCTTGGGGATACCCATAATTATTCCCTCTGTAACCAGCTGCTTGAAAACAAAAGGAAAACAAATGAAAAGCCTGTAAATATTACAAAGTAGACCTCCCAGAACTTCACATCCAATTTCTTAAAGGCAGATGATCAAATACCGATCCTCTCACTCTCACCTTGGTTTCCATATCCATAGTTCTGACCACTGGTATCCTCGAACAGCTGTGGCGGAGGCTGCTGGCCTTGTGGCTGCCCATATGGGTCATAATGGTTGTCGTACATACTGCCCGCGTTGGTGGTGGGTGCAGTCTCAGGACCACTACCAACTACCCTACGGCCACGGACCTGGGCTGAAAGGATTGCTTGTTAATCTAAAAATCATGTGAACAACTTGATTATTCTGATTCTTGGCTGAAGATGATTCCTACTTCAGAAATTGGTATATTAGAAAAATCACACATACTATGGAATATTTATGTTATATTTTGTTATGATATATTTTGGCAAAAAGCAGAAAGCTATGTGAAGTATAATACATTCATGCATACATACACACAAACTTACATACATACGTTTGAGTGGATGTGAGCATTCGTATATATTTATGATGTGTGCTTCTTTATGCCTCTGTATACATACATAACAGACAAAATACATAAATCACACAAGTGTATGTGTGTTTGTATATCTATATCAATATATCATAACGTGTGAGTGAGTGAGTGAGTGAAGTGTGTGAGTGAGTGAGTGAGTGTGTGAGTGTGTGTGTGTGTGTGTGTGTGTGTGTGTGTGTGTGTGTGTGTGTGTGTGTGTGTGTGTGTGTGTGTGTGTGTGTGTGGGTGTGTGTGTTGTGTGTGTGTGGTGTGTGTGTGTGTGTGTGTGTGTGTGTGTGTGTGTGTGTGTGTGTGTGTGTATGTGTGTGTGTGTGTGTGTGTGTGTGTGTGTGTGTGTGTGTGTGTGTGTGTGTGTTGTGTGTGTGTGTGTGTGTGGTGTGTGTGTGTGTGTGTGTGTGTGTGTGTGTGTGTGTGTGTGTGTGTGTGTGTGTGTGTGTGTGTGTGTGTGTGTGTGTGTGTGTGTGTGTGTGTGTGTGTGTGTGTGTGTGTGTGTGTGTGTGTGTGTGTGTGTGTGTGTGTGTGTGTGTGTGTTGTGTGTGTGTGTGTGTGTGTGTTGTGTGTGTGTGTGTGTGTGTGTGTGTGTGTGTGTGTATGTGTGTGTGTGTGTGTGTGTGTGTGTGTGTGTGTGTGTGTGTGTGTGTGTGTGTGTGTGTGTGTGTGTGTGTGTGTGTGTGTGTGTGTGTGTGTGTGTGTGTGTGTGTGTTATGTGTTGTGTGTATGTGTGTGTGTATGTGTGTGCACGGCTCTGGTGTTGGATGTTGTGTGTAGCTGTGTGTAACTGTGATGTGTGTATTGTGTAGTATTGTGTGGTGCTGTGTACTGTGATTGTGTATAGTGTATATGTGTGTGTATGCTAAGCTGTGTGTGTGTATTGTGTTGTGGTGTGTGCTGTATATGTGTCCCAAATTCTTCGATGTGTGTTGTCGTAATGTGTTGTATACCTATGTGTGATGTGTGCCTGTGTGTCTCTTGTATGTGTAGTCTGGTTGTATGTGTGTGTGTGTTGTGATAGTGGTGTGGNAGAGAGAGGAGAAGAGAAAGAGAGAAGAAGAGGAGAGAGAGAGAGAAGAGAGAGAGAGATGATGAAGAGAGAGAGAGAGAGACGATGAGAGAGAGAGAGAGATGAGAGAAAGCAAAAGAAAAACAGTTCTCATCCTTCTGTGTAATTATGCTATTTTAGATCATGGAAAAGTACTTGATTTTGAATGTCTTATAAATCACCCTCTATCTACAATAATATAATATCCCTCATAGAAATATAGTCCCATAAAAAGAAAGTTGAAATACGAACGACTTTCATACATATACATGGGACAGATGCTCTGACTTCCACACTTCGAAAGCAAGAACAGGAAACATGGACCGAGAAACCATGAGACTTTTGAGCTAATGCCCTTGAAGTGAGCAGACACGTCATCTGCTACGGGTGGATTGGTGGAGGAAGGGAAGGAGGAGAGGCAGGCAGGAGAGGTAGGAGGGAGGTAGGAGAGGAAAGAAAAGGTGAGGAGAGGAGAGAGGTGAGGAAGAGAGGAGAGAGAAGGGAGGTGAGGAAGAAGGAGGGAGGGAGGAGAGGAAGGAAGGAGGAGAGGAGAAGGGAAGGAGGAGGGAGAAGGAAAAGAATATAGGGAGAGGAAGGGGGAGAGCGTAGCAAGGAAGGAGGAAGGATAAAAGGATAAAGAGAGAAGAGAGGAAGAGAGAGAGAGAGAGTCACAATTTTTCTCTCAGACAAAGCCTGGATATCTCTTCAATAAAAACAGAAACTCTCTCTCTGATTCTCATCTCTCTCCTTCCCTTCTTTCCATGCTGCCTCCTCTTCTTTCTTCTCACCTCCCTTCCTCTTCCTTTCCCTTCGCCCTCCTCTTTTCACACCACTCCTTCCATCTCTCTCTTACCTTCCTTCCCCTCTTCTCATTCTCCTCTCTCTCTCTTCCACACTCATCCTCATCCATATCCCCGCAACATCTCATCCGAATAATCATCTCCCTCAGTTTTCTCCTCCTTTTTTCCCCTTTGTCATGTTTCCCCTCTCCCTGCCCCCTCTCTCTCTCTCTCGCCCTTCCCTGTCTCCCCCCTGTCTCCCTCTCTCCTTCTCCCCTTCCCCCTGTTCCCCTCTCTCTCTTCCCCTTCCCCTGTCTCCTCCTCATCTCTCTCCCCTTCTCCCCCCCTGTTCTCCCCTCTCTCGTCTCTCCTTTTCTCTCCTCTGTCTCCCCTCTCCCCCCTGTCTCCCCTCTCTTCCCTTCCCCTCTGTCTCCCCTCTCCTCTCTCTCCCCCTCTCCCCTTCTCTCCTCTCTCTCTCTCTCTCCCTCTCTCCTCTCTCCTCTGTCTTCTCTGTCTCCCTCTCTGTCTCCTCTTCCCCTCTGTCTCCCTCTCTCCCTCTGTCTCCTCTCTCTCTCCCCCTCTCCCTCTGTCTCCCCCTCTCTCTCCTCTCGCTTTCCCTCTGTTCCCCTTTCGTCCCTCGGCCTCCCCTCTTACACCTTGTTATGATGCTGGGATGCTTTTAAAGTAATGAATGCCGCTACGACAGTTGATGCCATACATTATTTTTCTCTTTTTTTTTTCGCTCTATCTTTTGCGATGAGGGAGAAGGGAAGGGAGGGAGAAGGGAGAGGGGAAGTGAGGGTGGGGTGTGTGTGTTTGGGGGGGGGGTGGGGGGGTGAGACGGTAGGCAGGTAAATAGAGAGAGAGAGAAAGGGAGATTGATAGACAGACATATAAACAGATAGATGTGTGGACTTCATGACGGACAGATCGTAACAGGGAACAACGAAGGGAAGACAGGAGAACACACGAATATGCCGAAGGTTTTTTTCGCTTTTCTTCGTCGGGGTAATAGCGAAAAAGGCCTTCGGCATATTCGTGTTTTTTTCCCCCTTCGTTGTTCCTGTTACAAATAGATAAATGGATAGATAGGCAGGGAAGTAGGAAAAATGGTAGATAGACCGATAAACAGACATGATACAACACACACACGCACACACACACACACACACAGACCACACACACACACAGCACACACAGCACACACACACACACACACACCACACACACACACACACACACACACACACATATACTACATATATATATATATATAATATTATATATATTATTATATATATATATATATATACATATATATATATATATATATATATATATATATATATATATATATATATATATATATATATATATATACACATATATAATACATATATATAATATATATATATATATATATATATATATATATATATTATATATATATATATATATATATATATATATATATATATATATATATATATATATATATATAGAGAGAGAGAGAGAGAGAGAGAAGAGAGAGGAGAGGGAGAGAGAGAGAGAGAGGAGAGAGAGAGAGAGAGAGAGAGAGAGAGAGAGAGAGAGTATTAAATATGAATAGTATCATATAATCGGATGATGCATTCTAATAACATCATTATCATCATACATTATCATCATTATCAACATGCATTATCATCATTATTATCATAATTGTGATGATGATTACTGTTCTTATTGTTATTATTATGATTGTAATTATTAGTGTTATTATTATGAATGATCATTATTATTATATTCTATTATTATTAATCATTTTTAGTTATTATCATCATCATTATCATTATCATCAGCAGCATCATTATCATCAACATTATCATCATCATTATGATTATGATCATAATCATCATTGACATTAATGTTATCATTATAATCTTGGTCATTTTTCCTCCTTACCATCGTTGATTTTCTTTATAATAATTAAAATAACTTTTGATCATTATCAATATAATTTCCATACCTGTAATTTGCATCTAATTCTATTTTCTTATTATTTCAGGTGAGTCTTGACCCTCTGACCTCTCACCTTTGAGTAAGTACATTAAAAAGAGTAAATTAAAAAGAAGAAGAAGAAGAAGAAGAAGAAGAAAAAAAAGGAAAAGAAGAAATCAGGTGCGAGTATTGATATGATGAATATCAAGAGCCAGATATTTTGGGAATTTCAATTAATATCCATCCCTTTTTTCCTTTTATGGGAAGAGTAAAATTAAAAAGAAGAAGAAGAAGAAGAAAGAAGAGAAGAAGAAGAAGAAGAAAAAAAGAGAAATAAAATCAGGTGCGAGTATTGATATGATGATATCAAGAGCCAGATATTTGGTATTTCAATTAATATCCATCCTTTTTCCTTTTATGGGAAGAGTAAATTAAAAAAGAAGAAGAAGAAGAAGAAAGAAGAGAAAGAAGAAAAAGAAAGAAAAGAGAGAAAAAGATCAGGTGCGAGTATTGATATGATGATATCAAGAGCCAGATATTTGGATTTTCAATTAATATCCATCCTTTTTTTCCTTTTATTGGGAAGAGTAAATTAAAAGAGAAGAAGAAAGAAGAAGAAGAAGAGAAGAAGAAGAAGAAAAAAAAGGAAGAGAAGAAATCAGGTGCGAGTATTGATCAGATATATTTGGGATTTCAATTAATATCCATCCTTTTTCCTTTTATGGGGAAGAGTAATTAAAAAGAGAAGAAGAAGAAAGAAGAAGAAGAGAAGAAGAGAAGAAGAAAGGAAGAAGAAGAAGAAATAAAATCAGGTGCGAGTATTGATATGATGATATCAAGAGCCAGATATTTGGTATTTCAATTAATATCCATCCTTTTTCCTTTTAGGGAAGAGTAAATTAAAAAGAAGAAGAAGAAGAAGAAGAAGAGAAAGAAGAAAAAGAAGAAAAGAAGAGAAAAGAT